AATACATAACTGATATGTAGGCATTGAATACTCAGTTTATTTAGACATATTTCCCATTTATTACTATTAGTATGTATAGTGGGATGTGTCCTAATTTATGACCTTGAGTTCTGGTAAGAGTTATCTCCCCTTTTTTAATTAATAAAAAAAATCAATTAAAAAAAATTTAGCCGGTAAAAAATTTTAAAGTTTTCAATTGCCATTTCTATTTTTAATGTTTCAATGCATCTTTCCACCGCAGGATTCATTGATATTCAATTATTTGAAATTTTATTTTGAAGAAACGTTTTTCTCCATAGACTTCAATGCAATCTTTGTTAATTAACTACTGCTTAATTAATGACATTTTTAAAACTTTCTCGCGGGCAATCCTTTCCACTATGAAATGCTTTAATGAAATATCAGTGTATTATGTACTTGACCGACATTTAAGGGTAGGGAATTAGGTCCCATTAGGGATGGAAATCCTTAAGTGTAAAATATTTGAAACTAAGTTTATATATATTATTGTTCAACTCTACAGATAACGGTGTGTGTGGCGTAATTGGTAGCGCGTCTGACTGACAATCTCGGGGTCGTGAGTTCGCTCCCGTGTGCGGGCGTTGTTGGATTTTCTTCAGATATGGTAGCCGTGCACCATTTCGGCATAGTATGCTTACGCTATATAATTCCATACATTTACATTTCCAATAAATTTCCCCTATGATTCTTCACAAAATAAAGTGAATGTAGGAATTCATTATACCTATTCACATTTTAAATTTCATCCCATTTATTGAAAACTAGGCTAGTTAAAGTTCCAGCCAGTCATATTGCAGCGCACGTGCATGCGCATATTTGCATGAAAATTTTAATACTTCATGCTGTAGAACCTCCTAATGTATGATTATTTCAAAAATTTCAAAGTATTTCGTCAAAAAACAAGAAAGATATTGAGAATCTTGTTTCAGCCAAACAGAACAAAGCGCTCGTGCATGCGTGTGAGTTCATGCTATTTTGACGATGTCACCTTGTCTTTGCTACTATAATATATCCTTTACTATGAGTTTCAAACCATTTCATCAAAAATTAAAAGTTACGTCTATTCAATAAATTTGGCTGTAATTTAGCATATAAGTTGCCCATGAAGAATCTGACAATCACTCTACCCTCAATTACCACCCTTTACAAACTAGTGCCCGAAACACCATACCGATGACGAATAGAATTGTTTTCTTATCTATTATCACTTCTGTTCCTCCGTACATGACACAGGTTTAAATATCCGTTGTAAATATACAACTGTTTCAAATTAACACCGAGGTATTTTGTATCCATATGACCGATCTTGAGACTGAAATCTTTTGAACTTAAGAATTCTGTTGAGTAATGGTAGACGTTCGTTTTTTTAATATGATAACAGCAGAAATAAATTATGATATTATACTCATACTCTTATATTATTTTTTTAAAAGTCTCATGTTAACTCTTTCATCTGAAAATTTTCAATTTATTTTTCCATTTTTTATGATAACAAATATTTAACAATGGTTTCTCTAAGTTTATCAAAAATTTTATTTTCAGTTTATTTTTTATGATAACAAATATTTAACAATGGTTTTTCTAAGTTCATCAAAAATTTTATTTTCAGTTCTTGAGATACAAAACAGATTCAGAGCTCCAAACCTGTGTAATGTTAACAGGGCCAGTGCCATGTTTTTGTTAACATAGGTTAAAAAATTTTACTATATGTTCGCTCAAAGCATACGCTTTTATCAAGAAGTTAATTCTCAATTAATATCGATTAGACAGTTTCTAGTGATTTGCTGAATCTCGTTTTGCTATAAATTATATTTCCTATATGTAAATAAAAACAAGACACGAGTTTACATTGTGAAGAATTTTAAGTTCTGTATCTCCTTTGTAAATTAATGAATGGTGTTCAACTTTTAGCTGACCATTAGAATTGTCTTAGTTAAGAATTGTAAACATTAAATTAGGTTTTGAAAAAATTCAGTTGAAACTGTGTCCATGCCCGTTTAATGCAAATAAATTTAAAAAAAATGAAAATAGAAACATAACATTAATTTTTAACATGCTTGAACTTTTAATTGCCCAACGTATTTTGAACAGCATGCATGTTTTATTCTTCATTTTTAGTTGCAAAGAGCTGTTTTTTTTCACATCTTATCATTATCAAGGATGTCATTCATATATTTATCTTTTATCAAATAAGTTGTGAAGCAATCAATCATTCGTGAGCAAATAATCTGATCAAAAAGCGAAGAAAATAATCCTAGACGATTAAATTAAGAACTGTAACATCGATACAAATTCCAAATTATGGCTTAATATTTTGCCTTTGAAGAGCAATCAATCTGTGAATTTAGGTATAGTCCTCATTTGAAACAAAAAAAAAAACGATGTCGTTGTAGAACATTACAAAGCAGCTGACAACGATGTAATTTTGTGTTATACTCGGGAAAAATCCTAAGTAAACTCTAAAATTGTTGAAGGAATAAGAAAATAAGTTAAAAGCTAGTCGTGCATGTGTGTTTGAATATTACAGGCGATCTCTGATCATGAGTGGCAGAGACTCTGTATCGGACGAAGGCAATCTTTAAACAAAGATTTTTAACAAAAAATTAAAAAGTTGGAACGTCATGGAAAGACATAAGCGCTTCAGAGTTACTGATCTTGTGAAAGGACAGTTAAGCGCTCAAAGAAATTAGGACATTGACAAAGAAAATTAAAAGTCGAGAAAAATTGTTAGAAAAATAAATCTCAAGTGATAAAAACAGTGTGTAAAATGTATAGGGATAGTATTTTTTTAGAAGCTTTTGACGCTATGTTTTTGACTTTGCATTGTTGTTTAGTGTGTTCCGCGGTTACGTTAACAGCGCCATACACAAACGCTGTGTATATAAAATGTATTATATTTGACTCCATGCGGATGAAACCGAGGCCATGGTAGGCGTTGACACGATAAACAACTCTCACTTCTCAATGGCCCTGAATGCTAAGTAAATGACTAGAATTATATGTATGAGTAAAGATTCTCGAACGAGACGTCAAACAACATGCAATCAATCATATTTCACATGGTATTCCTTGTGGTAAGACTTTTTGGTGGGCACCAATATATTTGACAAATTGACCTTGACCATGATCCCCTTTTGCGAAATTTGACATTAACCCCGGTTATAATTTAATTTTTGAACAGTAACGACGAGGGCTTTTATCTCTTCCCATTCCCCTGGGGGTTCATCAATATTGATCCTTTCGCCTTGACCTTTGATTTTCTTTCAAACATAAAAACTTAAATACTGATCATAAGTTTAGGTTAGTATTTGTATTTCATATTTCAAGAAATATATTCATTGACACATTCAAGGGTATCAAATTGTTTTAATATCTCTAGATCTCGGAGATAACTTATATTTGATAAACTTTAACCCTCGCCAAAATCTACCATACATGGGTATCAGTGTTTCACAAGCACATTTTGATTTTTTTAGTAATTGTAATTAGGCCATATAAAAAAATGTTTGGGTGTCCTCTCCCAACCGACTGGCTAAAAACTGCCAGACTCAAAACTCTTTTTTAACCCCCAAGAAGCAATTTAAAAAAAATACTCACCTACCCATCTAACCAATATTTACAGGGGAAAGGCAGCCAAACATTTCTTAAAGATGGTGTTAGCATAACTATTCTTTCTGTAAAAATGTATCTATTTCTTTATCTAAGTTTGGATGTTCTTGTTTATTAGGTAAAATAAATACCGTAAATCTGGAAATTTTTGCTGTAGATAAATTTTTAGCAAATTTGCGAGTGCATTGCATTCGCAAAAATATTTTTCTTAAAAATAAATCACCAATAAGAAAATGTAAACAAAGCACTGGTCATTCGCAAAATTTGGAAACGTAAAAATTAATCAACAGCATTTTGACCCGAATTCGCAAAAAAAAATCGACGTAAAAATTTCCAGATTTACGGTACAGCGTTGTTAAGTAAATCACGACAATAAAGCAATATTTTTTTTTTTAAACACATAAAGGTAAAATACGTAAGACGTGTCTGCGTGATGATAAACTTATGTATTTTTAATATTATTTACATGAACATTGCGTGAATAAAAGTAGAACGGATTATTAATATGGCCCCTTATGTATCCAGTTCTACATTTTAAGTGTGTGCATTATCGATATGCATCTTTAGTTTAAATTGTCTTTTTTTTTTTAAAGAACAGGTCATTTCATCCTTAACCTTTTAGTCTGGAATTAAGGTAGGTCCGTACTTTCAGAAATTTCTGTCAAACTGATAATTTTTCAATTGGAATACCTTGAACAAGTCTTAAACTTACTAAAACACCCATAAAAGACATATCTTTGCAGGTTAATTTTCATACAACATGTCTCAGCGCACATACCTCTTAAAACTCAACAGCCAAAATTGAACATAAAAAAGTATGATATCATATTTCTTTTAGTTATGCACCAAATCACATCAAATTTATGATAAAACTTACATAGATCAAAAATATTCATTTGACAAGAGAATATTTGAAAACTTTGGTGCAAAACATTACCAAATTGGTGCTGAATCTGTCCATGTCTTTCAGAAAAAAATCTCAAAATATCTTTATTTTTTATAATTCTCAAAATTTGAAATGTTAAGATGCCATTTTTTCTTTAAAACTATTAAGAATTATATCTAATGTTAACAAAAACAGCTAATTTATTATGGTTGACCAGAAAATTTTAACAAAACAGTCTTTTGAAGATGTATACCCCCATTTTTGGAAAAAATTAAAACCGGATCCGTAAAAGTGTGGACCTGCCTTAAAGATAATTAATATTTATCGATAAGTATTAAGATATAATCCAGTGTGTCTTATAAATCTGTATGTATATCACAGGTTGAAATCATTAAATGATTACTACTTGACGGCTGTTTGACTAAAACAGCTTACCTATCCAGAATTCAGAATCTACGTCACCGAATCCGGTCTTGTACTCTGCCCATCCTCTGTAGAAATCAACAGAACCGTTAACTCTCCTTTGTATCATCTGAATGAAAAATAAAAAAAGGACGAAAATGGAAAACGTGGAAATTAGAATTCAATTTATTATAAATTAACACATTTTTGAGGGGTCATTTTTATTCTTTGGAGAAAAAAAATATTATGTCGGACGTAATTGTTTTTGTGAATGAAGAAATGTGGTATTGTTGCGCATTCTGATAATTCATATCGTAGAAGAAATGAAGTAACGGGACATCTTCAATTTTATATGTACCATGCATAAAGCAAAAATTTAACTCTTAGGAAAATGAGTTCATTAATATTTTCTTTTTTAAATTACCGTCCAGATGTGACCGGCTGTGTTCATACAGTGGGTAGAAAACTGTTGACCGCCTAAAACTACTGTCTGAGGCAAACTGTCACCAAGAGAGGGCGTGCTAGTTCCACAGTCACGTGCACAATCTAAATTAAATGAATTGATCAAATAATAGTTTTGCTAAAAACCAAGCTCTATAATAAACGCGATGACTTGAAATTTTCTTATGCAGGAATATACTTTCATCACGTGCATACTGAGTTTAAATATCGCAGTTGATTCGATGCGCAAGAGCATGATCTAGGTATGAACAATTTCTTGAACGTGGTTTTAAAATTATTGACAAACAGGTTGATGAAACAAGAATATCAGCAGTCTCATTCAAAGTCATTATTTCGTAAGTTCTATGCTAGATGCAATGACTTCGTCAGCAAATACGATTTATCATCGATTAAAGTCCTGACTGACGTTTTTCATACTTATTGTTAGTATGTTATTTATACATACACTGAATTGAAGACGGATTTTCCTGTTATATCCCGATTATGACAGACAAAGTGCACACAGCGGAGGTGACCGGTCGGTAGATGATGCTCACTTATCTATGGCACCTGATCCTACCTCTGATGTTTGCTCTGCTCCTATTTTGTATTCTTTATGGACTTTTGATCTTGAATACTATTCGTAATCTCCATATGTTTCATGTTTATGTTTTTAAAATATGTAACCAAAATTAAAGTGTTATATCACATTTGATGTTTTCTAACTTTATTTTGTTAAAGAAAAGTATCTTTTTTATCGCATTACATATATCAGAATTTTAGGCGTTTATTTAACATAAGAAAAAGATTTATGAGGTAGTATTTGTAAGAAAAATATCATACAAAAATTTAACACAAGACCAAAACTCGTTTAATCGGTTTATGAATTGAAGGGTATGATGAATAATTTTATTATTCATCATACCTTGTCACAAAAACCACACTGGCAACACCCCTTCAGTTGATATTTTTATATACTCACAGTGTATAACCCACTGACCTGACAAAACCTCTTCTAATGGTTATTCAAAAGATACCAACTAACAATAAACACTGCAAAATCCTTTCTATCGCTTATTTATTTTATTCACTTAAAAAAAAACAAGCATTATTTCTTAAATCTATTTATCATTACATCTGCAGTTCCTAATTTCCTTCATTTGTGTCCATATCAGTGATGAAAAATTATCCATAGGGACATAAGAACAATGAAGTAAAACAAATAAAATCAATAAATTACAGTAGCTGATTGTCTCACTTATGATAATGTTGTAATATTATCCTGACCTATCTATAACTATAAAGCGCTTACAATACCCCTTTTCATCAATCTGTTACCATACAAACCTATGACGCATTCGCATTCACGCTTTAGTCGATTAAAGTAGGATCCCCATCCGCATGCGTGCTCCTGTAGGAAGTAAAAATTTTGAAAGGCAATGCATTTAATTAAATATCCTATAAAAATTTCATTGATGTTGAGATTGCCTTATACAAAGAAGCATGATGTATATTGAAAAGTACTAAGGAAAAAACAAATTTTAATTCTTTAATAATCAGATTTGTTAAACATGTATCCATTAAGATCAATAACCTAAAATGAATGCAAATCCTATTGCTGTTACATTGAATTTATTATAAACGCGTTTTTAACAAGTTTTACTGTTTGACTGGTCAATTTATCCCTTTTTGCATCTTTTTAAGGGATTTGGGAAAAAGCAAAACAAGTTTAATATATGTGGTTCACTCGCCTTAACATTGTACATTCAACTCTCTCTTTGAGTCCTACTTTAATTCATTGAAGTAAAATTAATTATCTTAATCGATTCACAATTTAATAATGATTTATAATACGAGAATATTATTTTGAAGCAGTGTGTATTGATGAAACATAATAAATATTTTTAAAACTTTTAGAATACATTCTTAAGATATAATAATATTATTTTATAACATAATTATAAAATTACTATATGTTCTCATTTCTTTCAGTGAACCAATTAGGGGCTCTGTGTGAATGGAAAATGCGTATAAACAAAGTTGAAATGCTTTTTGGGAATTTTCTGTATTTTTCTATATTTTGATTACTACAAAATCACCCAATGATCAATGGCGTTTATGGTTTATACATGTATCATGTATTCAAATTCATGTACTACTTAATTGTTGTTATATAATATGTATAGTAAATTAATTTACAAACGATACCATGAGATTATTTTAAGGAGCAAAGCCATCCGCCCATTTCTTGTGAATAACCTGTATTTAAAATTTCTATAAATCCTGAATGAAGGACTTTAAGTGGTAATGACCAATATTTGCCATTAAAGCAAAACTTTGACAGAGAAATACATAATTATGTTTCAAAAACAGGGGGATATATAGCAGACTTCAAATCAAGGAATATTTTCTTAAGCCATGGCGTCAGATAAATGACATAAGTTTGCAATTTCTATGATTTCTACAGAAAATGACGTTTATTACGTAAGTATTATGAGCAAAAGCCACCAAGCGCAGGTCTGTTCAAGCTCAATATTTTTATATTATATGTAGAATGATAACAGATTCAAAAAGGCTTGATCGCGAAAATTGATCGTCGCGAACTAAACTAGTTAACCCCTAGTAAATCGCGAAATAAAGTCGCCGGGAATAAAAATTGCTTTACAGTTGTTTGTGACATCATAAAAACAAAATTGTACATAACCTACTTTGAAACTGTCATAATTTTAAATTTGTTATTTTAAATTTCTCATACAATATATACAATTTAGAATTTTTCAAAATATATAATAATTGCTTTTCTGGGGGGCATTAATATGCGATATACTGCATATAGTTTTTATACGGACGCACAGTAATGTGTTAACCTAGTAAGCTAAACAATCAAATAAACTTACCAATTCATAACGTAAACGGTATTACTTCCAGTTTGTAATGATGTGGCAATTTTTGAACTAAGTCGAAAAATTGTTCCTGTTTCAGATGAACATATTTCTACTGCGTTACAGTCTAAGTTCTTGTGCACTCTACAGCACCATAACGCAATGACATAT